CTGTTCATAAATATTCGAAAATATTTATAATTATTCATAAAAATTTTAAATTATTTGTAACCTCTTCCTTGCTGAACATTTTATTTTATTTTTAAATTTATTTAATTTCTTCTTATTATAAACCTAATGACTTAAATGATGGAGTTTTGCCTTCAGATGCTGCTCGTGAATTAGTGATTCATAATTCAATTGATGACGACATTCCAGAACCATCTTCTACAAGAAGCTATTCGGTAATTTTTCGCAATTTAAAATGGAGAAAACCCGATGCATTATATTCTACAAGTCCTTTCAATGGGGAAGAGAAAGATATAATAAAACACGAAAACGATTTGCATTATAAAAGTCCATTAGATATATTTTCTTTAATTTTCGACGAAGACTTGTATCCTAATTGTAGATCAAAGTAATATCTATGCAAAATGAATAGGCCTAATATATGTATTATAACCATCACAGATATTAAGAGATTTATTGGAATTATATTATTTACTGGATATCATTCGCTTTCGCAAGAAAGGATGTATTGGTATAATGATAGTGATATTTTTATTCCAAAAATCATGAATACAATGACCCAATTACAATTTTGAAATAATATAATATTCATTTAGCAGATAATACTAAAATAGATATATATTATAGATGTTATAAAGTTAGGCCTTATATTAATATATAGTATAATAAATTTCAACAATTAGGAATTTTCAAATATCATTTATCAATAGATGAAAAGATCATACCATAAATTTCAACAATTAGGAATTTCAAATCATTTATCAATAGATGAAAAGATCATAATATAACGTGGAAGATATTCTTACAAAATGTTCATAAAAAGAAAGCCAATTAGTTTTGGATACAAATATTGGATATTGGCTTCTTCCGACGGTTACGTATTTTCATTTGATATATATATATATATATAGGAAAACGGGTTCGGACCCGGGTAGGGCCTAATATTTTTTAAAAAAATTCGGGCCGGGCCTTGGAAATTTTTTAAAATATATTTAAATTTATCAATTTTATATTGAATTTTTTATATACAATAAAAATATTTGATTTTATTTATAAAACTAGACGCCATATAACATATGTCTTTTATTTTGAGTAATTATAAAAATTAATTTTTTAAAAAATAAAATCGGAAAGATATTTCGGGTTCGGACAGGGCCAAAACTTTTTTAATTTCGGGCCGGGCCGGTCTTGAAGAATTAGGCCGGATGCAGATCACTATTACAGATGCCAAATTATCATAAAAAATATTTTGATAAATTTTTTTACCTTTTAAACTTTTGTCATACTTAAAACAAATGGGATATTTTACAACTAGAACTGTGAAGGATAATAGAATAGAGCATTGCCCAATTGAATCTATAAAGGCTGTAGTAAAAATAAGATAGAGGATATTATGATTATAGATTTGAAAAATCAAACGAAATATTTATAGTTCGTTGGAATAATAATTCGGTGGTGACCGTTGAATCGGCATGACATATATTCTCTTCGCTTTCTAATGTTTCAAGATATTCCAAGTAAATATCTTCTAAAATAAAAATTCCCAAGCCAAATATGATCACTGCTTATAATAAACGCATGGAGGTTATTCCACGTCAAATCGTGATTCGGCGACCCCTTTTAAAATTGTTAAAATTTTCTGGAAATATTTAGATAGGTAAAAAAATAAGAAAGCCGTTTATTTTAGCTCGCTAGCACACCTGGTTCTCGAGATATAGGGGCTCATAGGTACAAAAAAGAGCCACTTTGAAATCTCTAAAATTTTTAAAATTCTTTTATCTCAAAAAGTATTTATAGTAAAAAAAATATAACATATCATATTGTAGGCAAAAAAAATCTCTAAATGGCTATTAAAAAAATAAAAATTAGCGCCAATTTGAATCTTTTACTTTCAGTTTACCTATATTGCTTTACTTGTATTTTTAAGCAAAAAGGGGAGTTTTTCGAAATCATTTTTTGATTTTTATTTAGACACCTTTTATAAATATATATACGATATTAAAATCTTGGCGACGCTATCTACTCTTCCGAAATATACATTTTTACCAAAAATTAAAGAAAAATATATGGCGCGTTATGAAATTACGGATTATGATTAAAGTTTTGTTGATAACTTACCAATAACAGGATATTTACACTAAAAAATTTCGAATTTCTATTAAATAATAAAACTGAGAGGCAGTGTGGGCAAATGCCCATTAGACACTTAATAATGTAACAAATTTCCAATAATAATTATCTTTGGTATAATTTTTTTATCATTCATTTTTATTAATAATATAGAAATATAGATAGATAATCATATTCATTCCATAATTTATATATTTGAAACATCTATTTAGTTAGATATAGATAATTATATATTTAAAGAAAATAAATTAAAAATGTCTCATCTCATCCTTATGTAAAGTATATATTCGTCCGGTAGCATTTGAAAGACTGACCACATCTAAAATTTGTGATTTTTGTATCCATAATTTGTCAATCAAGGAGGGATATGTATAAGAATTTGAGGGTCCTTGAGGATAATAAAAATACTAACTAACATTTCTGTTTCGATTTTTTCCCTAAAACATAGGCCATCATTGTCATAGATACATGTTAAATATGCATTTATTTTTTCATATAGTAAATTTGCATTAATATTCGAGTGAAATGTTATATTTAATATTTGCGATTCTGTTTAGTTTGAATAAAATTTTGCTTCAATTTTATCCTGAAAAATTAGATGAAAAGTATGAAATTTTTGCGTTCCTGGTATTGTACACGCTTTGTTGAATTTTTATTCTAAAATTATTTGCTCTTTTCCTAGATTCCTGCGATAATAAGCATGTCTTTGTAGATTAAATGGGTGACAACATTTTGAAATTTTAACATTTGGTACGTCCGTCTGTGATATAGAATAAACTTTTAATTGATCTGCACCTATAATATACGTTTTTGCACTCTCCAAATCCCGGATGTCATTGGACGATAAAATAATAAGCAGACGGATTGAATTATATAAAATTAATCTGAACGGGTAGGTAAAAAATATTATGTAGAAAGAGAGATCGTTTTAAACAGTTTATTTTGTAAAATAATATGCTCGTAAAATATAATCGATAATATGCCTAATAAAATATTATTTTTTAATGCTGCTGTTATACATTATCGAGCTAATAAGTCATTCGCTATAGCAGCAAAGTAGATATCTAAAAAATGTAAAACTTTTTAAATAATGGAGGGTGGGGGCAGACCTGGAAAATTTTATAACATTTCTTATAAACGTATCAATATTTTCATTTTTCTTGAAAAATATTTTTCAACCATTAGCGCCATCTATTTTTTTGTGTAAAAATGTATATTTCGGAAGAGTCGATTGTAGAGGTGTACCGAAACCACTTTTTGGAGGCCGATCGGATCCGATATTAAAATGATATCGGCCGATTACCGATCCTATATCATATCCAATTTTGTATTCTGTAAAGATACCAATGGTTTTAATTTTTAATATACTTTTTAAATCTAACTATACCATAACTTATATTATTTAAATATATTATAATGATCAGTTATAGTTTATATTTAATTCAATAGCAATTCTAAAAGTATATAAAATATTTTTATTGTTAAATCACTTTTTTATAATAAGTAATACATTAATCTATATACATAATAAGTAATAAACATATAAGAAATTTGAAATAAACATTTAAAATATCAAAGATTTCTTTTTAGAAATACCAAAATTTCCAATTTATCAGAGGTCAGCCTGCGGCCATGGTAACTATCAATATCACCAGCTTCACTAAAAACTGATTCTGAAGAGATTATCGCACACTTTTATAAACAGAATGCGCTAAAAAAAATAACAATATGGCAGAATGTTTATTAATTAATTATTATTATTAACCCTTTAACGTCTCATGATTTGTTTAGACATCATATAATATAATTATATTTTTTAAATTTATAAAAGCCTATAGATTTAATTTAACATCATATGATATAAATATAATAAAAATACTTTCGCATTTTGTTAAAATTAATAACGTATATTTTTTTATTTTTAAATTTGAACCAATTATATTTTCATAATTTTTTTTTTCCATTTTACTGAATTTTACGATTTTATAACGACAATAAAACATATTCTGTGGAAAATATATATTATTCCTAAAATTCTTATTAATTATTAAAGGTAAGAGTATAATATTATGATCAATTATTTTATTAAAAATGACTATGCTCTTTTTTATAACAACTCAAAGTGCATGATGCCAAAATAAGTCAAGGATTTTAGAATACAACTTTTAAATATTTTTTTTAGTTTTATATTTATAATGGTTTTCTATAGTTATAATTAAATTTTACCATAAAATATATTCTAAATCCAATCAGACCATACTATTTTTGAATTTGGCGTTCATAAGACCTATATCTTCTGACTTATATTATAATTTTATATTTATTATATTTTTTAAAATGATTCTATATAATTTATAGATGCCAAATAATTTATTAATAGTGGAGGGAGATATTTCGGGAAGCTGATATCGATGAATCAGATCATGAGGAATTTAATTTGCAAACTCTCTACAATGATTCCCCTTCAACTTCATCAACTCCAATATCTAATAATCTTCAAATCGAGATAGAGGATAGAGAAATTAATGAAAACATTATCATTCGAAATAATATGAAATGGAGAGTAGGTGATATACATCAATTGGACACAAATTATGCTAATAAATTTTCCACTTCAACCAATATATTAACTCCGTATCAATACTTCAAATTATTTATTTCAAATAATATACTAAATAATATATGTGAACAAAGTAATTTATACAGTTTTCAGCAAATAAATCGATCGCTAAATCTTAATATAAATGAATTAGAACAATTTATAGGCATACATCTTTTTTCTTCTTTGGTCAAAGTTCCTTCATATAGACAGTATTGGTCTGCACAATGCGTTCCCACAGGTTACGGAAACTATGTCTCGAACCAGGTTCCAAATATTGCGAAAATATTTACATTTTAATGATAATTCTCAACTTATCCCAAGAAATCAAGATGGATATGATAAATGTTTTAAAATTAGGCCATTTATTAAAGAGATTCAAAATAATATGCAAAAATTAGAGATGGAGGAAAGAGTATGTATTGATGAATTAATCATCCCGTTCAAAGGGCGGAGTTCCTTAAAACAATATATAAAATCGAAGCCTCACAAATGGGGTAACAAAATTTTTGCATTAGCTGGATCCTCCGGTATTGTATATGATTTTGAGATTTATGCGGGAAAGCAAACTAATCCAACACCCTCAGAATTAGGGATAAGTGGTGATATAGTCCTCCAATTGGCTAAAAATATCCCGAAATTTCAAAATCATAAACTCTTTTGCGATAATTATTTTTCTTCAATAGCATTGGCTAAAAAATTAAAAGAAAAAGGTATATTTATGGTAAAGACTATTAGAAGTAATCGTTTGAAAGATTGCAAGTTAAAATGCGATAAAGACTTAAAAAAAGAAGGTCGTGGGAGCTATGTATATAAAGTTGATAAAAAAGAAAATATAATAATTGTCAAATGGTATAACAATAAATTTGTGCACATCATCTCAACATTTGTCGGTGTTCATCCGGTAGTAAATGTAAAAAGATGGTCACTGAGTAACAAGGAATATATTGAAGTTCCAAGACCAAATGTATTAAAAATATATAATGAAGGTATGGGAGGAGTCGATTTACACAATATGCTTGTTGAATGCTATAGAGTAGATATCAAAGGAAAAAGATTCTACTTAAGAATTATTTTTCATCTCCTAGATATGTGTGTAGTAAATTCATGGCTTTTGTATAAACGGCAAATATGCCATGAAAAGGAGAATAAAATCATGAAACTTATACAATTTAAAACACATATTGTTAAAGCATTGTTATCGGCAGGAAAAACTAGTAAAAGAAAATCAGGGAGGCCTTTAAATAAACCGATTAAAAAAAAAATTTCTTCTAATGGCTCCTATATCTGATATCAGATATGATAACATAGGTCATTGGCCAGATTCCTGCAAAACTAGGCAAAGGTGCAAGTTATGCATAAATGCATACTCAAGAACAAAATGTGGAAAATGTAATATATATTATTTATGTTTTAATCAATTTAGAAATTGTTTTCGACATTTTCATAATAAATAAATATTTGTATTTTTTTATTACACAAAAGCCTGATGATTTGATTTGGCATCATCATTTTTTTTAACTGTATATTTAAATATAAAAGTTGAAATAAATATTAGGCATCTATGGAGTGTATAAATGAATAATTTATAAAAAAAAAATTTTTTTTTAATTAATAAAAAGTTGGGCGTCAAAGGGTTAAAAAAATATACATAAAAATAGATATCGATTTTATTTATAAAAATAAATGATTTTAGATATAACTTTTTTTTAAAATTTTATAACATTTTATTTTTGTTAAAGACGCCATTTTATATCAGATCGGAAAATTTTATAATATTGGCCGATGACCGATATTTTAAAGTGGGTGAAATATCGGCCCGATCAGATAAAAAATATCGGTACATCCCTAGTCGATTGCGTGCCAAAATTTTGACATAGTTTATATTTATAAAAGGGTCTAAATAAAATCAAAAAAAATTTTGAAAATAAACTCCCTTTTTTGCTTAAAAATACTGATAAAGCAATATAGGTAAACCGGAAATTAAAGATTCAAATTGGCGTCAATTTTTATTTTTTTATGATAGCCATTTAGATATTTTTTTACCCACAATATGATATATTATATATTTTTTTTACTATAAATATTTTTTTATTATAAGCATTTTAAAAAATTTACAGATTCCAAGGTGGCTTATTATTGTACCTATGGGCCCATATATCTCGAGAACCAGGTTTGCTAGCGGACTAAAATAAAAGGCTTTCTCATTTTTTTACCTATCTAAATAATTCCAGAAATTTTTAACAATTTAAAAAGGGGTCAGCAGAAAAAGTGCCTTTTTTGATCGATTTGACATGGAGGTGAAGTTGATGTGTGATAATCTCATATCTATATATAGAATAAAAATAAGATGAAAAAAATGGTAGTGGCCAGTATTCACCAATTTTATCTATGCAGCTTTAGTAAATTCGTGAATCGAGATAACAAGAGTTTGCTTGATTTAGACTAGAAGTTACTAACTACCAGTGTTGTTAAAATAGCGCACTACTATAGCGCGCTACTTTTTTCAGTAGCGGTAGCTATAGCGCGCTACTTTTTTTAAAAAATAGCGATAGCGGTAGCTCGCTACTAATTTAGAAAGTAGTTCAATTTTACATAATAAATACATCTAAAAATGATTAAAATATATTTTTTATAAAATCTAAAATTATAATCCTTTTATTTAATTTAATTTTGAAATTTAAATTTATATTTAAAAATATACATTATTGTTATATATTAGATATAAACAGTTGTTAAATAGCAATCTGTATTTAATTTATATTTCGCGCATTCATTGAATTATATATTTTTGAAATTCCGTTATTGGTATGTCCTTGCTTTTATCTTATTTTATATTTCATTTTACATTTTATATTAAGCATTATAAATCTTGTTATGTGTGAGATTGTTGAAGATATTGAAATTTCTTTGGAAAATGAGCAAAATATAGATGATCCTTTCCCAAAATTCAAGAAATACTTTAATCTTGAAGAAAAAATTAATACTGGATATCGGTTTCGGTGCAAGATGTGCCGCAAAATTATCTCTTCAAATCATACGAGCAGCTTTAATTTGAAAAAACATTTAAAGGTAATATATTAAACAAATTTAATATCAATGTGTAGGTTAATCTTTAATTTTTTAAATAAATTAAAATCAAAAACCAATCATTTTTTTTATATATTCATAAATTTTATCTAAATTATTTAAAACATTTTAAAATAGTTATTTCAATCATTTTTATGTATACTTATCTCCTACATAATTTTTATTCTAAGTATTTTATAATTTTAGACTGTGCACACTTCAAATTATAAAGAGATTGAAAAATATCTCAAAAGTTTTGGGGTAATGGAAGAAGATAAACCACTTCCAAATCAAATTTAATACAAACAAAATTAACCAATTTGGATTCATCAACACCTGGTGTATCCCAAAAATTGGCTGACAAAGTCATTATGAACTTTATAAAATATACAGTTCAACCATTATCCTTGGTGGATAATGATTCTTTTATAAAGATGATAAACACTTTTTCTCCACGGACCAAGATCATCCTAGTTTCAAGTTAAATTGGCCATACATTAATTTGACTGAATCTAAAGGGCAACTTGATAGGCTGATGGTAACGTTAAAAAATGACATGCCTAACCACGATATTATAGCAAGATAGAAACCGCAGCCTTCCATAGACGGTTTTTTTTGAAATAAATAATAATAATATTATTGAACCTCTAGATGCTTTTTTTAAATCTAAAAATACTAATTTAAATATTTTTGATGATTTTTTTTCATATAAAAAGTTTGTTTATTAAATTTAATACTGCGTTGCCCTCAAGTGCTAGTGCTGAACGATTATTTAGTATGGCAAAGCTTATACTTTCTGATCGTCGCTCTAGACTTGGGGATGACAGTACCGAAAGTAGCTAATAGCGCGCTACTCATTTGAAAACGATAGCGGTAGCGATTGCGCGCTACTTTTTTTATAAAATAGATGTAGCGATAGCGCGCTACTTTTAAAAGTAGCGTTTAACAACACTGCTAACTACCTCCTTCGAAAACCAGTAAAAATTGAAAAATTTAGGTACAGGGCACGCAAGCCAGGCATTATAAAGTGAAAACCCTACTGATTGATCTGGACATTATTTATCCAAAGTTATAGATGGGAAAAGATACAGATGCAGTATTGCCTACATACTCAATATATATATGTGCCAAACATGTCAAATCGCACTTCATATTAAATGTTTCAAGGATTTTCATAATATATAAACATTTTCTCGTTTTTATTATTTTTTTTGAATATAATACTTTATTTAAAAACAAATTTTCACAAATTTTTCTTTTACAAATTATAAATAAAAATATATTTTAAAAAAACAAATAACCATATATTAAAAATGAATACACAAAAATGGGGAAAGGTTAATACATAATAAAATACAAGCAAAAGCCTATTATTAGCCGAATTAATAAAAAAAAGATTAAATTTATTATATAATTATATTGCAATGCCAAATTAAATCATTAGCGTTCTTAGCGGTTATAAAAAGTATGCAAGTTAATGATGTCAAATTCAGGATTTTAAAGGGCGATAATTGCCTTTCAAATAATAAGACTTAAACATTAATTATATCATTCCTTGCATATTTTTTGACTAAAGTCAATTCATTATTTTAAGGATATTCCTCATTTTACAGGACTAAGTTGCGTGATGTGATTAATATATAATGATCTTTATCTTTGTATATTTTTCCAAATATGTTTAAAGCAATCATATCATAAATATCAGAAAATTGGAATGTCATTTTATCCAAAACTCTGGCAATTGCCATTGAAAATAAAACATTTTTGATAAATTTTTAATTCTCATTGTAAAATTTTTAATAATTTATTACATTTATATATTAAAAAATATAATATTTTTTAAAAGTTTTTTTAGAAAAGGATAGAGATATATAAAAAGTTAGTCAAAAAATGGGGGGAAAAGATTGCCGGAATCGTCAAAGTCGAGCACAGGTCAGTATATATATAGCTGCTATATACATTTTATTTGTAATAAATTTCTTGTAAATAAATAAAATAACTAATTGTTTTATAGTATAATATGATTAAGCATATCATATAAAAATGATAGGGATTAAAAAAAAAGCGAAATCGACAATTCAAATATTGCAGCGTGCGCTATATTTATTGAATATAATTGTCATCAATTAATGTCCCTGCTCTCCTGACTCAGCTAACAAAATAACAATCATATTTATATTATGAATTAAAATATAATTACTTGTCAAAATAATATCGATTGCTTTTTTTATAAATATTTTATTTTTATGGGATTGTAGATAATATATTTCATTAACATTTTAAGATGTAAATTCGGAAAGTTTACTTAAAAAATTAGGTAATTTTCCAAATTTTTTAAAAAAATAATCAATATAATATTTAATTTGATTTTTTTACAAAATCAGTAAAATATTTAGAAGGAGAGTAGGGGTGGGGATGTCAAACGCCTTCGTTTTTTTTTAAATTTATAAATAGGATCTTATTGTTTAAATATTAAAAATATGTTATTTCATAAAACGAGGGGAAGAAATTAGAAATTAGTAAACATATTTATAAAATATTTATAATTGAAATAAAATATTAATAACATAATGGAGTAACAGATTTTTAGAAATATTATTGAATTGATGCCATTATTAGAGGTTGGTGCAGTGACCAGGCCTGAAGATCCAACCTTATTAGATATTCGTGCAGACCTAGCTTGACCTGAAGAGCGGGTAAAAAAGATTTTTGGGTCCAACCAGACAAAAAAGTTCTGAAAATGTTTTTAAAGCTAATAATTAAGCAAATTTATATTAGAAACTTGTAAAAGATATATTTTATGGGATGGACCAGGTATATGAGCCAGTTTAGGCGGAGTCAACCTCTAGTCCTTATTTAGATAGAAAAATTGGAAAGTCTAAAAGATGATAAATTGACAAGAAAAATACTTAACTTTTCTTACTCTGGTGGGGCATATGAAACCCCAGGCTTGCTAGAATTGATACTATATAAAAACAGAGTCTATATTCCAAATTTCATTTATTTTGGTTAAGTAGTTTTTAAGATATAAGCATTTTGTGGCTAATTGGGGTTTCACCGGAGTAAATAAATAATTTTTTTTTTTTTAAATTATTATTATAATTATCTAATTTTTCGAATTATTTTTGTCATTTATTATGATTTTTGCATATTCTGAAAGTAAATATAATAAAATTATTTAAAATGTTATATCATTTTTCTTTCATACATTTGAGTTGAATATGAAAAAATAACATTATTATCATTCCAAAGAAAGAAAAGGATGTCGTAATGCTATCTATTCTCCACCATACAAATGACCGAAACAAACGATAAATTATAATATTTTATAATATAATTAAAGGTTAGGTTAGATATGATTGATTGAATGACAAAAAATTATTCAATTTTAAGAAGGTCAAATTGATGGCCCCTAACAATTTCTTACACACTTCTAGACATTTTTTACATACTTTTAAACATAATATTAATTAATCCACATAATATAGCAAACATAAAAATATCACCTCCAAGAAGTAATTTCATATAAAAAATTATGAATGGAACTTATTAAGTGATATTTAGAAGTACAACAAAAATTCTCAGATTGCCTTGATTTTTGAAGAAATTTATTTGCAATATTTTAGGTAAAAAACAAAATAGAAATTTTATCCAGTCAAGAGGAAGGTGTAGTATGTGTCATAGAAGTTTAAGAAAACTAAATATTTTTGCCAGATATGAGAAAAAAAATTATGTTTGAAACATATTAATTCCTTATGTGATAAATGTTTTAAATATCAAAATTAACATATTTCAATGTCCTATATTTTTTATATTTGAATGTATTCATGTAAATCTTGTTTTATATGAAGAATAAATATCAAAATAATGAATTATAATGATGACATAATAGAAAAATATTTTTTTAATTTAATATTTGAAATTTAAAAAAAGTTTATTTAGAAAATTTTGGCACAAATTAGAATTATCCTGATTATCTTTAATCTAAGCATAATAAATTTAAATAAATAAATATTTTATCAAGTTTAAGGTTAGTTCTATCTTACCAAATATTAAAGCAAAATAATGATTATAAATGGAGATATATTATACATTAAGACCACTTACGTCATTTTTTTACCTAGATATTAATTATATATTTTTTAAATAGATTTATAGTATTTAAAAAAAATTTTATAAAAATAGTAGGGATGTACCGATATTTTTTAACGGATCGGATCAGGCCGATAATTCACCCATTTTAAAATATCGGTTATCGGCCAATATTATAAAATTATCCGATCCCATATAAAAATGACGTCTTATTTATTTTCTTAAATAGATTTATAGTATTTAAAAAGTTTTTTTATAAAAATATGAGGGATGTACCGATATTTTTTATCGGATCGGATCAGGCCGATAATTCATCCATTGTTATCGGCCAATATTTTAAAATCCTATCCCATATAAAATGACGTCTTTAACAAAATAAAATGTTATAAAATTTTAAAAAAAAGTTATATCTAAAATAATTTATTTTTATAAATAAAATCGAAATCCATTTTTATGTATATTTTTTTAAATAATAATAATTAATTAATAAACATTCTGCCATATTGTTATTTTTTTTCGTATTCTGTTTATAAAAGTATGCGATAATCTCTTCAGAATCAGTTTTTAGTGAAGCTGGTGATATTGATAGTTACCATGGCCACAGGCTGACCTCTGATAAATTGGATTTTGGTATTTCTAAAAAGAAATCTTTGATATATTAATGTTAAATGTTATTTTAAATATTTATTTCAAATTTCATATATATTTGTTTATTACTTATTATGTATATAGATTAATGTATTACTTATAATATAAAAGTGATTTAACAATAAAAATATTTTATATACTTTTAGAATTGCAATTGAATTAAATATAAACTATAACTGATCATTATAATATATTTAAATGACATAAGTTATGTTATGGTTAAATTATAGATGTTATACTAATAAAAATTATATTAAAAATAAAAACCATTGGTATCTTTACAGAATACAAAATTGGATGATTTCGGATCGGTAATCAGCCGATATCAATTTAATATTCTGAATATCGGATCGGCCTCCAGTTAGTGGTATCGATACACCCATAAAAAAGAGAAAGAAACACACAAAACGTTATCTATTTTTAATCTTTTTAATATTGACACCAATTTTATTATATATACTTTAAATAAAAGAATTTTTTAAAATATGGTATCTGAATTATGGAAATATTTTACAGAGGAAAAATAATTTTACAAAATGCGTTATCTGCAGAATTCTAATTTCAAGGGGAAGACTAATGAAAAATTCATACCAATATCCGTAAACTTTTTTTTAACTATTGTAGAAATAAAAAAATTAAATTACATGCATAATTTGATTTTTTGCATTACCTTTAAAGCTCGACTTTTTAAAATAAAACTAAAAATTTTTTTTATCAAAAATCTTCACTTATATACACCAAGGATGTAAAATTCTTATTTCGACTTTTATTTCATAGTATACAGGTAAAAAAAAATCATGTTACAATTTGGCATCATTGAGCGAAATGCATGTATATAAAAAAATATTTATTTATTATGAAAAATTTTTAAAAATTTATTTCCTAGTTATAGCATAAATTTTTTCACACATAGTCCTTAAATATGCGATAACACATAATTTACACCTTTTTCGAGTCTTGGAAACTTCTGGCCAATACCCTAAATTATCATATCTAACGTCAGTTATTATCTTAGGTAACTTAGATCCTTTTTGTATTTTAGGATTTTCATTTGATGGTCTCCCTAATTTTCTTTTACTAATTTTACCTGCCATTAACAAGGCAGGAGCTATTTGAGATTTAAATGTTATAATTTATAAAAGATTTTTCATTTTTTTGAAGTAATGTCTTCGATGCAATTACCATGCATTCACAATGCAGGTATCTATCAAATGAAATATTATTCGATATGGTGTTGGAATATTATTTGGGGGATTAGAAAATTTTTTAGAAAATGTATCAAATGATTCAATATTTTTTAATACCCAATTACTACTGAGATTAGGAAAACTAGGGCATTCATGAACATTATCAAGTTCTATGTGAAGTGCATTTATGGGCGAATAATAGGATGATTAAAATTATCCTCACTATTATCAATATCTGTTTCCGAAATATCACCTTCAATTATAATTATTTTATTTGACATCTATAAAAAATAAAATCTATTCAATGTTAATAAAATAACTTATTAAATTCCCAATGAGTTAATTTGGCATCATAATTTTAAAATTATATTTACAAAAATAATTAAAATTCTAAAAAAATATAAATTCGTGATGACATATTTGAATATTTTTTCTTCTTTATAAAATAAACAGTTTTCAAAATTTTTCAATTAAAATATATTTAAATAATATGTAAAAACAAGTAATTCAGAAAAAATTGAAACGGAAATATAGTCAAAATTTAAATGATAATAAAATAAAAACAATTAAGCATATTTTTTTTTATTATTGATAAAATACAATTGAATTTATTTGTATATTTATTTTAAAATGTTAAATTAAATCATTGAGTCGTTTTAAACGTTAAAAAATAACATTCAATAAGATGATGTCAAATTAGCTCACGGGACTTTAAAGGGTTAATTACATTTGGTTGGTGGTGGAAAATCAATATCAGATTGGTATAGGATCGGTTTTGAACCAATATCGGAAAATATTGGATCGGATTGGAGAAAAATATGTGGATCAGCACAGCCCTACAAATAAATATTTTAATTTTATGAGGTAGTGAAAATTCACTTGTTCTTATAGCAAATTAATTTTTTTCAAAATTTGGGAATTGGTTTAATTTAATATAAGACCATTTTTAATTATTATTTATAAAATAATATTTTCCAAGAATGATATAGAATTATTTATTTGTAAGTTGATAATTAATCAATAAATATCAGAATATTACAGTGAAATGCAGATTCTTTTTCAGTAATAGTTGCACATATCAAAAATTACAATGCACCAAATAATATTAAAATTTATATTAATTAAATGCAGAAATAAACAGATAAAGAAATTATAATATATGTCATTATGTAGTAGTACAAAGCTTAATCTTTATAGTCATTAAAAAAAATTTTCTCTTTAGCTTTCACCTTTTCTAGTGGTAAGCTCCTTCAACATCTCTCTCCACTTTATGTTATTCATACAATCTCTTTTATCTAATTTATACTTCTTTATATTGACTCTAACTTTATGGCCCCATAGAAGTTTTGGCCTTCCTCTTTTACATTTGCCCATCACTTCCAAACTCTCAATCTTATTTCCTATGTAGTTCATAGGCCTTCTCATTGTGTGCCCATACCACCTAAGTCTGTTTACCATTAACTTAGTCTTAATGGGCACTACCTTAATCATTTAAAATAGGAATTGTCTGAAAAATCATATTTAAACATCAAGAAAATGTTCTTAGACTTATCTTTAAATCAGCTATTTAGAGTTCTGTAAGGCTGGCTCATTACTGTTAATTATTAAATTTAAATAATGAGATTTAAAAATAAGACAAATATTTTGAGTTTATTTCCTAACCTCAATTAAATAAAGTTAGCACAGAAGCCCAGCCAAGCCAGACCTAATGTTTTTTTTACCCAATGAGACATTCCAAAAATAAATTCAAGAATCTAATCATATTTTATTGAAATAACTTAATCAAAATTTTATTATTTTAAATTAATGCAATTTTGGAGTAAAAAAGGTAATTATAATTTAATATTATGAAAAAATCAATAAATAAATCATTAATATAAAGTTGCCTATAATAGTAGGAATATAAAAACCATATGCTTTCAATTATTATGATGTAAAACTAAATTTAATAAATTAACTTAAGTAAATCTTAACTGTTTATGTATAAAAGTTTTTGAATATAATTTTATATCTAATCTTGACTATTTATATTTAAAAGTTTTCGTAGTAAAAATTTATATATTATATAAAAAAAAATTTTTAATTATATTTCTTAAATAAAATATAATTATAAATTTAGAATAAAATGTTATAACTTTAATAGTAATTTAAAAACCTACAATATTGGCGAGCATAGGACTTGTGAGGAGATCCAATTAGACGTGAAATATTAATTGTATGAATGAATATATAATACTTTATCAAATAAGATAGGTTAGAAAATGAGATTGATTGAATAAATTATGAATTGATTGACTCTTCGTGAATAGTTGCTAATTAGAATTACGGAGGAGAATTAAATATAATCAGATTTTGATATGTGCCTTTTTCACAAATTTTTAAACTCTGCAAATTTTAATCATTTGCATGGTATTTTAATTATTTTTATATTTCTTAATTATCTGCCAATTATTAGTGCAGTAATTGCACTATGGGTGGGGGAGGGGGGCGGGCATTTGTAGAGCGTTCTATAAAATTCGCCCCCCCCCTTCCTTCCACTTTTGATTAAATCTTACAAATTGAGGAATTTTAACGGTGGCTCCTTATACACATATTCAATATTTTTAAATATCCTTGTTTAAAATTTTTTAGGTTCAATTGTTTCTTTATTTAAATAAATATAATATAACTAATGAAATATACGGTATTCCTCTCACATTTTATTAGTTAAATATTACATTGTTCTACCTTCATTTTTTTAAAATAATTTTCAGGGCTTAAAAAAATAATTTGTATTATAAATAGTTAATAAGGAAAATCTCAAGCGTAGATAATTGCTTATACTTACAGCGACAAGATACCGATGTTAGGCAGAACATGGTTGAATACTTTTAAATTTGTGGGAATGATAGATCATGGTTATAAAAATGAATTAACCATGACGAAAACTTCTGTCAAATTACATGAAATCAGATGAGAAGCCAAAAACCGTACCCAACCCCCCCCCCCCTCTTATACAATAATAATTGGCATAACGAAAAAATTAAATGAACAGACAATATAATCATTGAGCTAGTAAAAGATGTCAGATTAGTAAGCCCATTGATGCCGGTTTTTTTAAATAATGGCAGTTTGAGACTGCGCGATTTCTACGATATGATCATTTCAGCTTTGCCCAACCCACATATGGCTCGCATCTTTTTCCTGTATTTAAACTATATCATTTATTTTATTTATCATTATATGTAAAGGAGTTTTTTTCCAATCAAATTTTGTTTTTAATACATGATTTATACTTTCACAATCATTGTTGGTGTAGAGTGTTAAAATTAATTTATTTTTTAAAGGTAAATATACCATATTATATAATTTATCTATTAAATGATTATCTAAATATTTTACAAATTTTGTTTAATTTTTATTTAAGCAAAATTATCTTAATGAATCAATGATTTGATTTCTATATAATCCAGAGGAAATAAATGTAGTAAAATGGATTTCAAGCAGGCCTTCTCCAAATCTCTATATACAAAGATTCAATGGATATATATCGACGCATAAAAGATATTTTCGTTTTACAAGAACTACCTTTTAGTTTTTAACCTTTTCAGTGATATTTCAGCAATCGATGGAGCAAATATTTAGAGATCCTAATGACTTAATATTCTACATAGGTGACTTGTTACTTATAGGAGACAACAATGAATCACATCTTCAAAAGATAAAAATGATGAAGATGGCATGCATACCAATGAGGATAAAATTAAAGAAATTACAAGCATGACTGAGCCAAAAACTTCGGAAGAACTTTCTACTTTCTAAACAGAGCAAGCCACCACCAAAATGTTTTTGAACAATTTTGTTATCTTCTTTACAGAACGTTAATAAATAAAAATTGACTTTGCGTGTGAATCACCAAGAAAGTTTTAAACAATTAAAAACGTTGATCAGCCAACTACCTACATTAAGTTTTTTAGCCCATAATTATTACCTATTGGCATAGCTGCAAATCTAGAAGATATTTTATTTTAGAAGGAGAAAGCAAAGCCGATTCGCATAAATAGCTTTATTGAAATCAAAAAGAAATTATACCAGTATGGAGCGTGAGTAGTGTTTTTAAATTTCTGGGTCGGGTAGGCTTGACCGAAAACCTAACAAGGGTAAATCCGATAAAACGACCTTAAACCCGAGCCAACCTATTTGGCTATAGATCACCCGACCCGAACAAATGAGCTTCAAGCGTCCCTTTGGGTCGGCTTGCTGTGTCGAAGGTCGGCTTGCTCGGTCCTCCTGCTAGGTCGGCTTGCTCGGTCCAAGGTCGTCCTGCTCGGCTTGCTTGTTAACAAAGTATATAGAAAATTAAACCAGTTTGTTTTAATCCGGATTTAAAATTTTTGATATTAAAATGTTATATGATCTTTGGTTCTAGTAATAAATTAGCACTGCCATTATATTGTATTCCACGATGAAAAAAGAAAATTTTTTAAAACTTTGATTTAAACCTAAATGAATGTTAGAGATATTAGAAAGATGCAGTGGCGTATCCAGGATTTTCTTATGGGGGGGGGGGATAATTTTCAGGGCTTCGCCCCCAAACCCCTTTAACCTGGCCTTCAACCAGCTTTCCCCCGGCCTTCGGCCGGGTCTTATATTTTAGCTATTCTATTAAATTATGAATAATTTAATAATAATTATATTTCTATTTTTAACTATTATTTACTAATTCGTGTTATGCATATTACAAACCTATTTTTTATTATTTCAAGTTAAATATATTATATTTAATAAAGTTTTTTTAAATGTAAAGTTGAAATAAAGTGTAATGTCATTTTTTTATAAAATTTGCTTTAAAAACTAGCCTCAGCTTAAATTCTCATACAATATAAGTAGAATTTAATTTTTTTTTGTGAAAATACTAATAGTAGTGTATATAAAATATTGACTAGAAAATAATTAAATTAACAAGTTTTTTTTAACTTCTTATCAAATACAATATTATACAAAATATTTTCTATAATTATAATGTGATTTTTAATTTTCTTGGGAATGTTGCCAATTCATCAAGAATTTCGTTTGTCGTTGGAACCAAATCTCTATGTATATTTAACAGAGCTAACCCATTTAGCCGAGATTCAGTACTTCGTAAATATGTTTTCAACCTTCTCAAGTTGGAAAAAGTCCTTTCATTCGTACATGTTGTAATAGGCAAACATGCAAGAATATAAAACAACTTAAAAATATTAGGAAATTGAGCCAAGGTTTCTTTACACCGATTGAGCGCATCATTAGCATGCTCAGGTAAAATAGCTAAACGTAGTAAATTTTTATACCACAACTCGAATTCACTGATTAAATTTATTTCAGTATCAATCTCATAGGAATAAAATTTTGCTAAATATTTAATTTTACCAATAGTGGCATTAGAAAACGAAGAAGGATCTTTGGGTAATAAAACTTGAAGATTCCTAAAGACTTGTTTTTTATATAAAAATGTACTTTTATTTGGGATAAAAAAGTATCTAAGAATGGGATGAAGATAAATATTTTATAATATTCTTCAGTTGAGCCAATATTTATTTTACATCTCAATAATGGCCTAGGGGCTAGAAGAGGTTTAATTAGTGTTATATCATAAAATTTAGCCTTCGATTCAACGTTTAGATAAATATTATGAAAATATTTATCTACATTCATTCTTATTCTATCTACCTGTTCATATATATTTTCCGTCAAATCAATAACCTGAACCAAATCTAAATTTGGTTTTTGTAAATTTCTACAAAGTAGTGAGCTAAAAAAATTTATTATGCAATAAGCAGCAATGATAAACTCTGATTGATCAATTGAATTCAATAATATATGGCTTACGACACATTACTTTTTTTCATGCTCAGCCTTATTTAACTTTTGTATTTCTATTTCTTCTGTTTTACAAAATGGAAGTAAAAATGAAAAATATTTAAAAAATTATAGATATATATTAATAATTAAAATATTATTAAAAACACTTATTAATTCTAACTCACTAATAATTTTAAATTTAATAGAATAAATATATATAATAATAAAATAAATTATCGTTTGATTTCAATCTCTTTGACTAAATACTATTTTATTAATATTTTTGAATAAAATGTTGGAAAATTGATATTCAAATTGTTAATATGACCGATTAATACTAACCTTTAAATTGTTTTTTTTATGTTGATATAAATTGATTTTTTTATAAATTGATAGATTGATTTTTTTTATATAAATTTTGATATATTTTGTTATATAAAGCAGATTTTTTTTAGTTCAAAGAAAATGTAAAATTTTAAAATATATATTGTATAAAATTTAATAATTTATTTAATTAAACGATTTTTATATAAACCAATCTTCTAAAATACTTTATGGTGGCAGCTCCGCTACATATTCGAGGAAATCGTAAATAAATAAATAAATATGAAACAGATTCCCAATAATAATGTTAATATAAATATTGAATTTTCAATATACTCAGGCAATGGCGAGCTTTTTTTGAGTAGATTCGAAGACATCTTCAAGGACACTCAAATCTCGGACATCGAAAAAGCAGGTTCCTTTACAAGAAGACTACCAGATGAGGTATATATCAAATTAGACGAACTAAATAAAATTGGGCTATAATGACTTACAAAATATTCTAAAATCTACAGACAATATGATTTTGCTACTGGAACATAGACAACTAGATAGAAAAAGTTCTGGAATGTAATATTTATATCAAAAACACGTAAGAAATGATTAATTTGAAAAAGTGAAGAATAATTAAAAAATTTTAATAATTTTTCTCTAAATTATGAATATACCTATATGGGATAATAATAATAAAACAAAGTCCATTGACAAGTTAGAAGATTATTTAAAATTTCATGATAGTAAGAATACTCTAAGCTTAATAGGTAATTTACCAGATGAATTATATTTAGTCATGAAAGCAGTGTTTCCAAAAGAGTTAAATTCAAGTTATGATGAAACATTATATACATTAAAGTGTTTATGTAATTATAAATAGGCTATAGAAATAAAAGAAAATTGTTCTAATAAAAATTTTAGTAAATCTAATCATGATTATTGGCTCTTGTATATAATTTTGTCACGAAGATCTTTGCAACAAACAAAACATTGTCGAAAAATTTATAATTGGAATAAAAAGTTTAAAAGAAAAGTTAAAACAAGACTATCTGCACAACTGCCTTATGGTATATTAAAAGTAGGAGTTATCCACAAGCCATTGGGTAGGGTTGATTGAAAAATA